AAATTCTCACTTGAATTAGTGGTCTGCACCCTCCAGAGACCCGCTCGCCAGCCGGGGTAATGGTGGATGACACCGGCTCCAGGGCAGGGCAGGCACGAAGATCACGTGGTGGCTAAACGAACGGGCCTATGGGGGGAGGGCGGGGAGCGGGTTAGCGCGCGTAACGGTCATTTTCCTCTCTTTGCACCCGGCAATGGTTTCCAGTCCATGCCATAATTGCTCCCGCACTCGCAGGTTTTCTCCAGCTAGTACTCCAGTTTCTTCCTGCTTATGAAACTGGACTTTCTTCCATTAAAACAAATCAACGAAACAATGACAAGTTTCGGCACAAAGCTGAGGAGGGCAACAGGGTCCGTCCGCGTCGCCGTCAAAAAATTCCAATAAGCCAGCGAAATACAAGTTCAACTATGGGCGCGGCTCTGGTACTGGTGGTAGGGTGAAGTATTCTTCGAAAAACATTCAGGAGAATTTTTTAGCATTCCGATGAAAAACGAGGCCAGAATTGGACATTTGAGGATTGAACATCTTCGGATCATGTGTCGAACTTAAGAGTGGAACTTCACTTCCCGGAAGTAAAGCTCGATTCGATCAAGGAGGAACTTGAGGCTAGGGCCCGGTTCCAATTGTAACCGAGTGGGTTAACGAAAGAAGAAACAATAAGGAAACAGGGACGTGCAGGCACCGATCCTTATTCTCAGTAATATATATATATGTACAATTTTTATTAACAGTAGCTCATTTAAAGAGATAAAGTTATTCTCGGTTTTCCGTATGGTTCACGGAATAAGCATCGACTTGTGACAAATATCCACAACAGTGTCAATAATTATGCCACATAATAATAAGCCAAATAATGAACGACAAATAATCAAACGACAGTCAATGAATCTGTAAAGAAAATAAAAATAAAAAGAAATACATTTGCTATTTTCAGTTTCTTATTAAGTTGTGTACGTTAGGATTGTTCCAAGGAACCCAAGACAAGTTAATTTGGTTTCAATCTAGAAAAAAAGCATCGAAATATAATCGTGGTAATTTAAATTGTACTATAAATCATCCTTGCCTTTGCACATATTAAGCAAGTGTTCTATGTGTACATCCTCAATTTGTCGACAATGATTTTGTTAATTTCACTCTACAAGTTAAATGGACGCAGAGGATGTGTTCCTTCCTCCATGATTATTTGTAAGCTGCGTAACACAACATTTCATATTCAATATATTTCCTCGTGACAATCCAAAGGTGTCATGTGTTGCAAAGAGTTCACTGATAAAAGTGAAGGTTTGCCAAATCAGGTTCTGATTGAAGAAAATATACATGTACATTTAGTGTAATAAACATACCAACTATATTCTGGCTTATGAAAAGCATTCAACAACACTAGTACATAGGGCTGTGCAGCATCCCGGCCCATGACTTGTGCCAACGGTTGAACGGATGGCGATTGGACATGTACATGTAAGCAGCGCACGATCGTATAATGTTCACAGTTATCGCCAGCAAGTAGAGAGCAACAAAATAAATATGTGTTCTCTCTAGAGAGCTCTGAAACAGAGTCATCAAAAACTCTCCAGCGACCAACCCACACCAACAAGGCAGGATGGTGTAAGTCACATCCTAAAATGCAGGGCAACAGAAGGCTAATTAGCATGGTTGCATAGCTGCCTGAGCTGCACAGCTGCCTGCGTAGTGTTAGTATAGAGATCAGTGGTGTAGCTGCCTAATTTGCTGCACATGTTGGGAATAGAAAGTTTTGCTAAACCACAAGAGGGCGCTTGCATAGCCTGGTGTTTACAGTAAAAAAAAGTTACCAAGTTTAACAATAAGGATGTAGAATGAAAGGAAAGGAATTCATTTTCAAATTCCCATGGAGAGACCAGGTGACCCCCGATCACACTCAACACTACAGAGGATAGAATGAATGAATATTTATAAGGGAAAGGAAGAAAGAGGAGGGACGAGGGCTTATATCGCTAGTCGCACTTAATGCTAAATAGAGAACAGAAATTGAATATGTTAAGTTAGAAAAGTAAAGGGACAGGTGACCAGTCGACCTTGTTACATGTAGGTCACCTGTCTCTTTGCTAAAATAGCATGCATGTTTGAGAAGACCCTTTGAATAATAACTTGTTTTTGATGTTTGTAGTCAAACCACTTTTTGAATGTTTCCACATTTTAATGAAGACTGCAACTGTCATGGTCGCCACGCATTTACCATCAATTAGTACATGTAGGATATGACAGATGGCCACCATCGTAGACCTCCTCCCGCACAACGTTTATGGGCCATGACTGGGTTATTTTCAAAGACCCCCCCCCTCTTCTGAATTTTAAATTGGTACTTATCAAGTCATGTTAATGTAGAATTAGTGGTAACTATCTGCATGACTTTTCTTAAGTTTGTCAAATTTCAGAAAATAAAGTTTATTAAGTTAATAAAGTTTATTTCTTGCACCAATCGTCCAGACTAGAACTAGTGTCTCGCTTTCAAGTGGAAACCTGCCCGCCCCGGTCGCGCCGGCCCCTCGTTCACATGGTACAGTACGTACACATGTACGTACAGTACTTTGTACATGTACACTCGAGGCGAGGATACTAGACTGGTCCAAGATTTACAATGCGTCGTGTGGAGGGGGAAAAGACGTCTGGAACTCAGACGATTCGAGTTCACAGAGAGCCTGGCAGAACAGCAATAAACGTGACGTACGCGTTAATATGACTCAGCGCTCAGGCGGCTGCTGTTAGCAAAACATCAGGTGCGTGTTCCAACAAGCTGAAAGCTGGCCATGCCAAGCTTGCTCTGATCTTCCTCGCTTGTGGTGTGTCCTCGGTGCGTGCTCGTCCATTGCTGGCGTACCGCTTATTAAATACACCCGGTCGGTCCTTCGCTCATTCTCCAGCCATGCCAAAGAGAGGGCCATCAACCAGAATTGCCGACGCAACCGCTGCCAAAAAGGCCAAGGCAGCCGAGGCGGACCCGGACCTAGAGTTCGATGCGGAGTGGAGCGATTACGGCCCCCGGGCAGGATCGAAGAATCTCCCGCCGGTGTTCGTGCTGACCGGCCCAGGCATCAAGGGATCCGAGAAGATCGCTGGTTTTGATATCGACATGACTCTCATTGTGCCTGCCAGTGGACGGACCTTTCCAACAGGTATACTAAGATAGCAGGAGTTTTTCCAATCATGATGATAGGGACTTTTCTCTTTCAAGCGCTGTGACCAAGTTATTTTCTTTAAAAAAGTCCAAATTTAGTCATCTTCCACAAGTCACGTCTCGAGTCAGTTTTTCCATGGTTTTTCCAAGTGAAGTTGTAAACTTTTTTTTTCATCGAGTCAAATCAAGTCGTGCTATTAGGCCCACTGCTATTTTTTTTCCTCTAGGAAAGATTTCACTGTAAGCCTAGGCCCCTACCCCCAAATTTTTTGCCTGATCGCAACTCACGCAAGAGCTCCGTTTTCCATCCATTTTTTCATAACTGGCAGGGTGAATTCCACCCCCCCCCAAAAAAAAATTGTACTGCCATGTCAGGAGGTGTTTCTGCAAAGAACAATGGGTCTGTTGGGAAATTGTAAAATTGGAAAGAAAAAAGAAACATTTCTTTTTTGTTTGAATGTGGTGCAAAATGGTTCAACTTTTGCCTGCAACTACATTTAGGACCCTTGAGAGTGTTGTTCATTTCATTAAAAACAATAAAATGCCACTGGAAATCTCTTGCTGTTATTTTTAACCAGTTGGAATACTAAATCAGAATAAAAAAGTGACAAGAAAGTCCTACTTACCCTGCATTCAGACACTCTGAATATGATTGGATGAAGATCTTTTTTGGCTCAGCCGATCATAGACTTGGGCTGAGGTCCGACTGCATTGGTTGTAGATTCCAACTCGAGTCTCACTTGATAAAATTCAAGTCTAGGTTTCTCCGAGTAAATCTTTGGGTTTCTCTCACATCCTTGGCAGGACCGAGTGATTGGAAATTCATACACGACGAGGTCAAGCCCAAGCTGCAGTCGGAGCACAAAGCGGGCTACAAGATAGTGCTCTTCACCAATCAGCGGGGAATGGAGAAGGACCACACGCCGCCGGCAGGCTGGAAGGGCAAAGTTAAAAAGATCATCAACGAGCTGAATATTCCCATTCAGGTCCCTTCACCCATCATGTTAAAAACACAAGTCATTTTATCGGTTGACGTGCACTGTTACTCAAAAATAACCGATCTTAGATTTAGTTAATAGTTGCTTGACTTTGAGCACATGACAGCATCCAGCATTGGCGTGTATGTGCTGTGGTCTCAGAATCTTGGACTTGAAGAGGCCTTGTTACTAAGCAGTGGCAATATTTTTCTGCCAACTAAATATCAGAGAATACAACACACTACTGTTAACATAACTGGCAAAGTTAATGGGAAGACTTGGGGTATGCCAAGAAAACTGTCAGTGAGACCAAATTGCCATGAAAGTTTGACTGTGACAATTAATTAACAGAGTTCTTCAGATATCACAAAGACTTCACCTCAGGTTTCCCTGAAAGCAGCCAGATATCACGCACCCAGCTTCGTAGAATACCAGAAATGTACATGTTGAGACTAGATCCAGTCAAAACTTTGCAGATGGTCTAGAGGGAGATGTGTTTGCATTTTAACCCTAACAGTCCTTAATCTTTCACCTGTTGGAGGATTAAAGACTGCTGATAGTGATAATAATTTGGAACTCTAAACTCAGTCCACCTGTCACGGTACACAGGTGTTCGTGGCTACTGGCGAAAATGACATGCGCAAACCGGGCACCAGGATGTGGGACGTCATGGTGAAAGACCACAATGAAGGCATCCAGCCCGACATGTCGGCCTCCTACTATGTCGGGGATGCAGCCGGCCGGCCTAAGGACTGGGCCCCAGGGAAGAAGAGGGACTTCTCCTGCGGGGACCGGATGTTCGCAGCCAACGTGGGCATCAAGTTCATGACGCCGGAGGAGTACTTCTTTGATGAGAAGCCAGCGCCCTTCAGTTGGCACTCAGTGGATCCAGCTGAGGTGGTGAAGTCTTCAAAGGAGAAACGCAAAGATACTTACCATTCCAAGGTAAAACATTGGTAGATGGGGGGTCCACAGGGGTGCCATACCGGTACCTCACCCCCAAAGCAACTCCCACCCCCACAAAAAAGGGGGGAGGCCTTGGTACCAAAAATGTGAGTATTGAAAATGTACAGAGGTACAATTTTGATCGTTTTCTCTCAGGTTTTCTCACTTTGTTCATTTTATCATTCAGAAAATCCTATTCAATCATTTTGCTATAAAGCCACACAAAAGGAGACCAGCTTAGATATGGCAATCTTGCACGCTCAGGAAAAATCACGATTGTAAAATTTTTTACAGTGCACTAAAATTCCTGCATAGATTAGAAACTATCAGCAAAACCTATTCTACTGGGATTTTCTGAAGAAACAAAATGAACAAAGACTGAAAGCCTGAGAGAAAATCATCAAAATTGCACCCCTGTACGTTTTCAGTGGCCAGCTACACCTAATGCTGCCAAGGCCATTTGTGCGCATGCCTGCATAACTATTAATTTATTAGGGAAAAGGTCTGTTCCCATAGCTTTGATGCCAAACACGAATACTAAAATTCAGGCCAAACATTGTGATGTTGCTGAACCTTGCAATTTCTTTAGCAAAGGGAAGATCAAATCCTTGGCAAAAAATACATTGGTTTCCACCTGATATTGTATTGTATGGTATGTTGTTCTTGACTGGTTCACAGCTGACTGATGCAAATGAAAAATATTTCAGAGCAATAGTTTGTCTTACATGCCGTAAGATTGGGTCTCCCATTGATGATGATCTTTCACCTTGACAGGACAAGGAGCTGGTCATCATGGTCGGCCTGCCGGCATCAGGCAAAAGCAGCTTCGTCAAGAAGTACCTTCTGCCCCACGGCTACGTGCACGTCAACCGTGACACACTCACCACCCCAGCAAAGTGCCTCGCAGCCACCAAGGAGGCCATCAAAAATGGGCAAAGCGTCGTCATTGACAACACAAACCCTTCGGTGTCGGCACGGTCCGATTACATCGATCTCGCCACTAAAGCCAGTAAGTGGGTCAAACCTTCTGTTGTCGCTCCTTCCTTGGCAAAACTGTACATTTCGACATTCAGCATTGTGCTTATAAACCATTTGTTACAATTTCCGAACTTGCTTTGTGGAAGTGGAAGGTCACACCCTCCCAGATCATTGAAAAGACACCATCAGATTGGTGAGGATTTTGCAGGACTGATGGAGGTAAAGCCTAGCTATCATTACTTTACACTTGGCTTGATTTCACGTCAAATGTTACCGATCACACATCATTTGTTGACAGTTTTGATACTTTTCTTTGACCTTGGCAGCTTTATTAACAGTCGTTAAAAAAATTAATTAAATCTATTTTACTTGAATATTTTTTCCTATTTTTTTACATGTCGAAATGTCCCACACATTAATTAGATAATACTTATTTTCTAAGGTTTTCCTCGGAATATTCATGCAGAGTACAAGGTTCGTTGCTTTGTGATGGACACACCCATTGAGCTGGCCCACCATCTGAACTACGTGCGACAGACCCAGACCAACGGCAAGGTGCGCCGCATTCCCAATGTCGGCTACAACGTCTACAAAAAGAACTACCAGGAGCCCAAAAAGAGCGAAAAGATTGAGGACATCGTCAGGATCCCGTTTGAGCCCACTTTCGAGAGCGACAAAGACAAGAAGCTCTTTCTGCAGTGGACAGGGGACTAAACTTAAAAAAAAAAATAAAGTGCAGATATTTTAGTTTCATGAACCAGGAGCCTCATGACCTTTTGCTGGAGGGGGGCGACGAGGCAATTAAGAAGTGCTTTTTTCCTCCATAAGTGCCATTTTTCACATGGAGGAGGTTGTATGACTGGTGAAAAAAAGTCCATCTTACCTATAACCATGAATGTTGACACAGTACTCTTTGCATTGACCTCCCCCATCAAAATAACCCTATCACACTACTCAGATGTCAGTGTATGCCATATCAGACCAGCATACATTATTAGCATTAACATGAGTATTTGTACATGCTCAGGTTTTTAAAAGTGGTATACAGTGTACATGGAGTGTAAAGGGCACACATTCAACCTGCAGATATAAAAAAGATTGGAATCAATTTCAAAATGAAGATTTCCATGATAGGATTGAATTGATTCTCTGTAGTTCTTAAGATTTTAGTTGGTGCAAACAGGTTCTAAAGATGTTTTATATTGAACGTTGCTCATCGCAAACTTAGAACAAAGGAAACTGTGACTTTGGAACAAACTTGAGGTGGTCAATTAGTTGAAAACAGATAAAAATTTTAAAATGATTTGAAAAATTTACTGTAGTTAAATGTGAGATTTTTCCCTCTTTGAGGGAAAGTTGGGGTTGATTATGCAAATTTAATTGTCTTTTAAAGTACCTTTAACTTTTTAATCAAATTAATAACTCTATTTTTAAAATGATAGTACTGATATTATTGAATTAAATAAATGCAAAAAATTTTACATTTGATTTTAGTAATGACACAGTTTATTGTAATTAATTTAAATTTTGAAAAATTTATCAAACTTTACTACTTTAAAACTATGAAATGTTGTATTGGCCACATTCAGTGGTCCATATATTTTTATTATCAATGTAAATTCTAATTAACTTTCGAACATTATACTGCAATCGACAGTATGCCCCTTTGTAATATTTTCAATTTAAAAAGACAAAATACTCATGCTATTTGTAGAAACTAAGTAGGTATTCAGTATTGTATAGTACATGTAAGTCATTTTATGATAAGTCTAAGTGCATGTGTTCAGATTGAAAGGATAGCAGCTACTCACTGTACATCAAATGTAATGTTTGATGAATACAAAGTAGCACGAGTATAATGAATGAAGTACTGCTTACAAAATATCAAACTGAAATAAACCGAATTCTAAAGTTTCAAGCGTTCTTCAAAACAAGTATTTGTTTGTTTGGAGGCATGCCCGTAGTCCACATACCCTGTGTATTTTTATAATCACTGGAAAAATAGTACATGTACTCAAATTCAAAATCTGAAACCACTCTCTTCTAATTTTCCTGCGTGTAGACCATCAAGTAAAAAGTTTTGTCATGTATGCTCCTGAAGACTGTCAGTTCTGTGTAAACGTGCTCACTTTAGAAGTTGCCTTGTTCGCATAGTGCAAACGCATGGCTTTGGTAAAATTTGTGTAAAAATGCCATCATTCCGTCATCAGCTTAGTGAGGAAAGCGTTCCATATGCGGACAACACTTGATGCCCCTGTGTGCAAAAACCTATGGAACTTGTCTGAAAAAAAATCCTGTTTTCAAAGTACATGTAAATGCTTTAGAATTTTCTTAGCTACATTTCCGCACTTTTCAGGACGTCCGACTTTCTGTATGCATGACGGCTGTTATAATATTTGAACTTGAAGGGAAGATGTCAGTGTATATATAGTTTTTTTCCAAAGAGAGTACAGTTCAGTTTACAAACTAGTGTTTTTTTCAAAGACAGAAATTATGGCTCATAAAGTCAGTCAAATCTACATTTCTCATCAAACAGGAGCAACATAGAGTGTTTTCCTTCCTCTGCAGTAGCAATTAAATGTAATTCTTCGCAGACTTCTGCATAACGCATCGACCGCACCGCTGGCTAATCACTGAGGGCGCTGCGAAAAATGAAGGTATTTCGCGTCACTGTGCCGTTTCATCGTTTGTCATTCCGTTTGGTTTCACCACTTTATTTGGTCGTTTCATCATTTTGCGCGGCCACATCCTAGCTTCATGACTTTATGTGACTGTTGCACCACTCTGTGGTAATTTTTTTTGCCATTTCATTTGCTATTTAAATCGCTCAGGGCCGATGACTTTCCACAATAGCGGTACGTACGTGCACGTGATGTTGCACAGTACATGCATGGTCAAGGTCACACCTACATGTATCAGAACCAGAACCGAACGGGGATATATGTTTGCCACTGGTGTGTCAAAAAGTAAAGGGCTGTTTGTGTCTAAAAGGTAGGCCTACTTTAAATTAATCATGATGTACGTTTGTCCTATAGCATCATTGGTACGAGTTCAAAACGCAATCCGGAAGTGAAAATGGCCCTGATGAGGCTGAGCGCAAGGCGGCTAACCGCGGGAGCGCGGTGGGCGTGGCGTGTCGAGTCGAATCCACCGTCGTTTCTTATGCGTAATGCATGAATATGACTACTCTTGTCCAAGTTATAAGTTTGAGTGTCAGCAGCAATATAATGCATATCCTTGCACAGCTAGGCCTATCGTGTAAAAACGGTGTATGCATGCAGATTATTACAAAACTAAAGATCTAGGCCCAATTATTGTTTTATGATAATATTCTTGCGGGGTCGGAGGTTGTTCCCCGTTATTGCACTCGCGTCTGGGCAAAGGGGCAACTCTCCATTCACTTTGTACAGGGATTTGCATGTTTTCCTCCATTTACTGCAGCAACATGATGATAATAACTGAAACCTATTCAGTACAGTGTTGGAGATATTCATAATGCATACAAAGTTCAGGCATATTTGATGTAAAGGTTAAGAGTTTCGTCAGTAATTCAGATATTCCCAATAGACCACAACACTATTTATTTTGCCCCTTTGAGTTTCAAGTGTGAAATATGGAATAGCCACCAACTGACTAGTCAGAGAGAGAAGAATCGACACCCAGTGACGTCATCCCGACCACGGGAATGAACAAAACAGTTGAATTTCTTGTCGCAGTTTTACAGCATAGCAAGGCCCCCCACTTTTTTTTTTTTGAGAAAGGTTGCATTTCTGAAACCTACCCTGAATTGAAGTAGTCAGGCTAAGAAAAATTAATAAACAGTTACTACAACATACTTCCGAGAACTGTATGTATTTACAAACCCCACAGTTCTGGAAGTGAAGCAGCCTTTACGTTGATACTTTTGACACGTTTGGTTAACTTGGCTTTCACAACTGATTTTTGATTATTTACAGGTTCGTTGTATGATCAAAACTTCAACTTGAAGCAAGTGCCAGGATATCTTGTTAGTTGGAATATAGAGTTTGACCAATACGGCAAATATGTCCAGAAGCGAGGATGGAGACGGGGGGAGGTCTCCCCTAAAACCCCCAGCTGGGCTCCAGGAGCTTGAGCCTACTGAAGATTCAACTGCTGTAAAGAAAGCTGTGAACAGCGGGCAACTCAACCTGTCAAATCAAGGACTTACAGCAGGTTAGAAGAAATTAGGCCTTGATATAGTAAGCCCGTGATAGCGCAAGGCCTTTTGAGTAATGCTATAGCATACTGGGAAGTACTGCGAGTTACATGTATGCCACAATGTATTGGGCGGAATCAATAGATCTGTACCTTTGGCAGGGTGAATTGCACTAACATGTCTGCTCAAGGAAGAGGAACCGGTGGCAGCGAAACCTTCAATCATTTTGTGAATGACAGATCGGGCATCAGCACAGGGAATCCCACGTAACGGTCAGATCTCTCACTTTGCCAAATCGTGCCCCTTGTTCAAAGTATCCAACATCCGAAGGTCGTTTTTTGGAATCGTGATCTCCGAGAAATTGACCTTTTGATATGAATTGTGGTTTGCACTCGCAACACAAGGCTTCAATTAATTTGTCCTTTCGTAACAGTTTTCACCTAATTTTAACAAAAATTTATTTAGTCCCAGAGAGCGTTTGGCGCGTAAACATTGACATACCAGAGGAGGCCAAGACAGTGTCTGAGGACGACATAGAGGTCGGCTGGTGGAAGCAGACGGACCTCGTCAAACTCATCTTGGCTTACAACAAGCTCGAGGAGCTGCCCAACGAAATAAAGCAACTACCGGCACTCACTGTGGTGGATGTAAGTCATCAATTGCTATCACCAAATTACCTGGCTACGGCTAGGTCACTGGTGTGACACACTTGCCCTTGTAAGGCACTTGACATAGACGTCTGTGTTATTTGCAGTCACTGCCGGAAGGGGTCAGCCACTTAGTTCAGGGGGACCAACTATTAAAACTTAAATTTGCCTTTTGTGTTTGAGTGCTTGCAACTTAAACAAAAACCAAGGAAGAAATCCACATACGGTTTCAGTTTAACAAGCACCTTCTGTGTTCACCTGACAGCCTAAATAATCCACCTGTAGGGGGCAGCAGGCTAGATCACAATAATGTAATACAAAAAAAGAAAGTAGTTACTGACAACCAGAGCAAAGAATGTGGATGGGGGTTGACTACGGTGAAACGTCGTAGTCAGGGCGTGGTGGCAAAATTTAAGGGAAACGTAAAAGGAGTAAATTGAAACAAAACTCACATGAAAACTGCACAGGCCACTGAACTCTTCCAGAACATTGCTAGTAGTGGTGCAAAGCAACAGAAGTAATCTATTTCACACAATCAAAGCTAATTAACTATCAGTAAGTACCAGTGTGAGGAAAATTGGGATTAAAATCTCACACCACCATCCACCACCATCCACCACCATCCACCACCATCCACCACCATGTCCCAGTCATAAGTCCACACCCTAACAGGCAGCTTTTATAGGCCTGGTCCAAATAAAGAAAGGAATGCTCACCTGGACTAGTAGAATGCTTAAGGAATGCACGGAACTTTAATAAAGAACTAAACAAAACAGGGCGCATTTCTCAAAGCACAGAGGCAGGGATGGCTCCACTGCAAGACTGAGCAACAAAAGATACATGAACAATGGGGGCGCTATAGTCCTGGGCCAAGCCACTAATCTGATTTAAAGGTGCAATTGCATGGCCGTGAAAAAAAAAGAAATTGGTGCACACTTTTTAACAATGCTGATTTTAACTTTTGAGCTGCATTGACTGTTCTGACATTTGGTGGATCAGTTGCCATGGCGTTTGTTTCAATAAGCCTTTTGCGAATTAAGTTTGAATTCAAAATCTGGTACACTGAGTTAAATTCACGTGAACATAACAATTTGAATTCTCCATACTAAAGACACTGTTGCTATACCTCGTGATTCGGGGTAAGCTTTTGCTTAGTTACATGAGAGATGCCTTGCACCGATGCACTGTTTTCAGATTAGAATGGCACAAAGGAACCAGTCTATTCAAGGGAGGGTGGTCACTATGGAAAAGCTTGCCCCGATTCACGAGGTATAGCAACAGTGTCTTAAGTCTGGGGAATTCGAATTATGTTTTATTTCTTTTAAAGCACAGCATGTGACCATGTAAGACTGGACTGACTTTGAAGTTTCTCAAAGCTTGTTCCAATTTATTTTGAACACATTGATTTGCCGAAAAAATATTTTGTTTTATTCTATCAAAAGCTCTATTACCCGAGTCCTGTTCAATGGTGAAATATTCACGATCATATTTTATAAGTAGGTTATGCTTGTATTGAAAAAGTACTGTTCTTTTCATAATTTTTTTCTTGGGGGGACAGGTTCACCGGAACGTATTAACCTCACTCCCACCAGCAATTGGCGAGTTGGAAAACCTGCAGAAGCTTAACGTCGGGTAAGAGGCATCTTTGACAAGGTCACGTCCTTGTAGTATATTTTGAAAGTTCGGTTTTTAATGTGATTTAAAACAGAAACTCGCATGTGGATGGAAGTTTGATACGCAAGATGTGGGTGGTCTTGGCCAGATCCTTGGATGGATTTTATAGTATTCTTTGCCAGAAAAACCTACCTTACATCTTGCATTCACATAATTGTATCCCAGAATTAACGGGGGCTTTAAAAAAGATGGATCTCCAAATGTACACATGTGGAATGCACATTATCGACTGATTACGGAAAAACACTTATTTAAATTCCCACAGGAATGAAAATAAATAATAGCTGACTGCTTGATTGCATGAATTTGTTCACAGTCACAACAAACTGACAACCTTCCCTCCGGAGATGTTCCAGCTTGGTCGTTTGATGTCCTTAAACGTCGAGCACAACGACCTGACTGAGCTGCCCGAAGGCATTGGGGAGTTCACTCGCCTCGAAGAACTGGTAAAACTTGTCAAAGTCCCCACCCAGGCATGGACGCTCACATGACCCTGTCTGTGAAGACACGTCGTGCCAAACGTCAAAGCAACCCCCTAGGCAATTTTGCCTAGGTGTGTGTAGTTTTGAAGCAGAATTGAACGCTTTCCAAAGCAGACTGCCAATGGGCCTCGAGCTGGACCAAGAGAGGGCGCTATTTTCTCAGCAACAGAGGCTCCTTTGGTCGGAACTGAACTTTGTTGATTCACAAACGGCTAGGAAATGCATCCGTCACGGTCGCATCGCTACCAACATGAACACTCCCGACCAGCACGGCTCTTTTCTGCCCAAGGCAGATAATTTAACAAAGATGATCAAATCTCCAGATATTAGGTTCTTCAATATGGTCTTTCATTAAACAAGACAAAGTATATTCCATTAGATTGAACTGGTGCTGTGGTAATATTTTGTTACAGAATCTTTCCCACAACAAACTGACCACCCTGCCTTACACAGTTGGACATCTGGCCAAGCTGAAAACTCTAGATGTATCAAACAACCAGATCACATCCCTGCCTTCTTCCATGGGTATGCTCAAAGGTCAGTATGTTACTTTTACCGCATCTGTAAGAGGACGAATAGGACTCCACAGTTCGTAGCAAGCAGAGCAGTTACACTGTCATTGCATTCTTTGTGAAACTTAGCCTGTGTATAAAATTTAGGCAAATCATCTGTCTGTGACAAAATGGAGAGAGAGACCCAGTCTGTCAGAATCCATGTTGAAATCAAAGGTCACATCAAATCAAATCCATGTTGAAGGCAAAATTCAATGCTGTTTTGAAAGCTAGGAATCCTGCACCCACATCGGCAAGATTGACCGACTTAGACGATTATATTATGCTACCTGTCAGTCATCCACACAGTATGAAATGGAGAGGGTGTTAATGGTACCAGTTTTGAAGGCCTCTGTCACCAATCAACCTAACTGTAACAAGTTGGACAAGTTACAGTGCTTACTGTAGATGAGATGGGATTGTTGGTGACCAGCTACAAGCATAGAAATTGGAATGAATTTTTCCATCTTCTGTGAAAGTTTGAACCGATGGAGAATTACGATTGTTGAGGGAAGACTTTAGTTTATCTCCTGGTGATGTTTTCAGCTGTGAAGATCTTGGATGCTTCCTACAACAAACTCCCCGAGGTCCCAACAGAGGTTGGCGACATGCAGTCGCTGGAGCAGCTTTACCTGCAGCACAACGCGCTGTCTGTTCTGCCTCTCCTCCCAGGGTGCAGCAGCCTCAAGGTAAGCCGTCGTCTCCAGGCCTTGTCTCGTTTCCATCTCAAGATCCTCGTAGCACATTCAAGTCCCAGTTCAGGGGTTCCTGTTGGTTAAGAGCCAGTCTTAAATAAGGGAATAAATATGTGCTCGGCTTGGTCTTCAAACGTGTGTTTAAGACCAGCTCAGGAGAATGGACATGACTTGGAGCGCATGTGGTGAGTTCGGCGGGGGGCACTCACACACAGACTCTTGACCTCTCAGAATCGATTAAACTGTCTCGTAACCAGATGCCAGCATGTCATTTACGCAGCAGGCATGATCACATTGCAGTAGACATTATCGAATGTTAATACACGGTCACATGACACGTTTTGACCAACTGTCCCAGGTATTTATGAATGGTTGATATAAAGCACCGGCTGGCCCATTGCGTTCTACACCACCTCGCACGGTATGTGCCACACTTGTGCCAATCCCTACACGCATACCAGTCTCCATATAAGGAGATTGGAATATGACAATAATTGGAATTATACAGAATATTCCTCGTGAAGACTATCACATTGACCTTGGTCGGAAACTACTTCACGGCCTGGTTGATGTCCGTACCAGCCTTGGTACCTGGCCTGCTATTGCTTGTGAAAGTTGGGAACATAATCAACCATCACTGTTTGATCTTCCAATCTGGTTGTCGCAGGAGCTGCATGTTGGCCAAAATCGCATCACGGTCTTGCCCCCTGACCACTTGGACCACCTGACTTCGGTCACCGTGCTGTCCATGGGCGGCAACAAGCTGACCCAAGTCCCGGAGGAGATTGTCAACTTGCAGGGGCTGCAACGTCTGGATCTAGCCAACAACGACCTAACAGCGTGAGGTTTTGCTCAAACTTTTTTCATCAATTTGAGTTTTCACTTTTTCTGCTTGTCTAGCAGGTTACTGTCCATCAATTTGTATGGTTGCCCATCAGTCGTTCTTTTTAGTCAGGATCCCTCAATTTTTTTTGAGTTACCCTCATAGTCTGTCATGCTATCTTCAAATGAACAGTGTGCCCTACAGAATTGGTACCCTGACTTTTCTTGAGACGCTCTCCTTGACTGGAAATCTCATGCGAGGAATGTGGAAGGATGTCCTTAGGGTGAGTTTTTTTTTTTTTTTAATAACGAGCCCCATTGGACGCAAGAAAAGGATATAGGTACACAAATCTAGCTATGAAGACCATGTCGCATTAGGCTGTCGGCAGCGGCACTGCCAATAGTTCAGTTTAAAAATGTTAGCCGGTGGTGCCATCCCACAGGTCTATGCACACTGCTGCTATCTGCGTCTTCCCTAAGACCTGGTGCAGAGCTGCGTTTTGTTAAATCTCTCTTCCTTGTGATGATCCAACGGTGTCTCTTTCATGCTTGCGGCAGCGAGGCACCCCCGGCATTCTGGAGTTTCTCCGGAGCCGCATCAGGGAGGATCCATCGGCGAAGGATGCCACCGACAGCATCGCTGTATTGCCGTCGGCACCAGCAACGCCTCCATCCAGCGCTGCAGGAGCGGTTGCTGCAGAGTACAGGTCCTTGGACTACAGGTAGGCATCTTTCTCAGTGGACACCAGTGTGACATTCGACTCCATCACAAGTCCCTGTAAGTCCACCACAAGTTATTCTGTCCTGAGCCAGTTCACAAGCTATTCACATGAATATGGACTGTGACAAAAGCAGTGTGACTGACCTTGTGAAGGGACTTGTGACTGAGCCTTGTGAAGGGACTTGTGACTCACCTTGTGAAGGGACTTGCGACTCACCTTGTGAAGGGACTTGTGACTCACCTTGTGAAGAGACTTGTGACTCACCTTGTGAAGGGACTTGTGACTCACCTTGTGGAGGGACTTGTGACTCACCTTGTGAAGGGACTTGTGACTGACGTTGTAAACGGACTTGCGACTGGGCTTTGTGAAGGGACTTGTGACTGGCCTTGTGAAGGGACTTGTGATGGACTCGAATACAACACAATACTCACAAAGTTGAATCGCAATAGACCTTTTCTTTGCTATGTCACAAGCAAAGATTTTGCCAACAGCGCTTGGCAAAACTGGCTGGCCATGAGTACAAAACCACAAAGTAATTTACAAAGTAATTATAAATTTTGCTGCAAATCCCTAAATGATAAATACCTGTAGTAACTACTGATATTTCTGCTAAACACTTATTATTCCAGCAACAAGAAAGCAACCGAAGTACCAGTGACCCTGTGGGAAACTGCTCAGGAGGCTGGGGTCACCACCATCAACTTCAGCAACAATGTGCTTACAGAAGTCCCCTCAAAGTGAGTAAAGATTCCCCAGGGCAATGTGAGAATTGTGCATGGTTCTTTTCAGGACCTCGGTGAGGCCAACTTTTGAACACATGGTCCGTTCCATGGAAGGACTCTATCTAGAGCAGTAGATGGTACTTACATCATGTCCTACTCTTGAGAGTTCCAGCTTCCGTTGTTCACCTGCACAGGGCCTGGAATACATTTTATGGTTTTTCATCTGAATGTGCACAAACTGTTTGCAGTAGGTGCATGGTGACAATAGCGTTTGGCTTTGTGTTCCAACATACAGGGCATTTCTTGTGTTCTGTCATTGTGTGTTGCAGAATCCTCCTTCTCGCCAAGACTGTGACAGAGCTGAATCTTGCCTTCAACAAGCTGACGTCAGTGCCCGTGGAGCTCCACATTATGGAGAACCTGATCCGTCTAGACCTCAGGTGAGACTGTCTTACACTGTTGATGTACATCGTATGTACAACTTGGAGAAAGCCAATGTTTGTCATTGTCAGGCCTTGCTATTGTTGTTCTCACTGAACGTAACCCAAAGTGAATGGAATGAGAAAAGAACGCTTCATAAATCTTGATGGAACTGTGGAACTATCTTTTGGGTTGATTAAGGTTGTGTTGGAGAAGGGTGTCGTTCCCACTGACAACATGATCTAATTGTTACTGGGCATCATTTCCCCAAATCGCATGGCAGTCATTGAATAGGCTGAAAATCTAACACTTGGCTTAAGTAGACAAAGGTTGAGGTGCACTGTTGACGGATCCCAAAACGCTAAACTTTAGGAATGTCATTACAGTGCCCTTGTGTTCAGAAAAACACAGACACTGCAAACATTGAAGGTACAAAGAAAACACTTAGGACATTTGCACAGTTTAGAAATGTGCATGTTGATCGTTCTTTACAATGCAATGTTTCTTAAAGTAACAACGCAATCAGCACCCTTCCCTCCGGGTGGTACACCTTTGTCAAGCTGCGAGAGATCGGCCTGGCCTGCAACCAGCTCAAGGAGGTACCGGCCGTGGTCTACCAGTGGGCCAATCTGCAGAACCTCCTGCTGGCCTATAATCAGATCGGGGCCATCGACGTGGCCGGCCTGCTCAGGCTGCCCAAGCTCACCCGCCTGGACCTGCAGTTTAACAACATCAGGCAGGTGCCACCGGAGCTGGGCAACGTCCAAACTCTGAAGTGAGAACTTTGTATTTGTAGGGGGTAGAGGAAGGGGTAGCTGGTCACATCAGCAACGGTTTGACTTCCGCGGTTACTTCAGCGTCCCATAAAATACTGCTTGCGTGAATCAGCACCCAATCTATAATCAGAGTGAATCTTTTGACCACGTCTTGACTTGGGGAAGTTGTTACTCTGTCGCACATTCAAAATGAAATAAAATCCATCTTACGTCACCATCTGCGATAGGGTAGCCAGGCCCCTCTTTCGGAGCAGGCACGTCTCTGTGGTACCTTGTGCCTTGACAGCTTCTTTGAGGGCCTGCGTGAGAGACATACACATGAATGAAAAACACTGTAAGCCGTATGGTGACATTCGTGGCACATTCGTAATACATGCAGATGTGACCAACAGTGAAGTAGTAACGTCTTGCTGGTTTTTGAAAATGGTCATTGACAAAGCAGTTGTGTTCAATGTAGGATTTGTTCAAAGACCAATGAAACTGCACTGCTACAGTTTTTCTAATGCTTGGATCTCATAGGAGCAGTTTCTGAGTCGACTCAAAAAGTACATTCTGGGTCACACTTCTTTTCTGCATTCATTTTTCCCCTTTGTATCCAGGTCCCTCCAGCTCGGAGGCAATCCTTTTAAGAACCCAAGGCCGGCCATTTTAACCAAGGGAACATCAGCCCTTTTGGCTTACCTGAGAGACAGAATCCCAACATGAAGATCTCCCAGCAAAGTCGACTGGCATCGCAACCCTACCACCTGCTGGCTTCATGATGGATAGTGGTATTGAAGACGACAGGCATGGCAAAAAGAGTGCACCAGTTGGTTTGATCGGAGAAATTCTGAAATTGTTTAATTTCCAGGCACATCATCTTTGCTAAAGTCTGGGGAAACATTCTGTCGTCTGACTCAGCCCAGCTGGTAAGCTGCAGCCTCTATTGTGCTTGTTCTTGCACAACGGCTTCCAGCAGGGTGACAGTGCTGCACGTTTGCAACGGAGTACCACTGAAACTTTGCCATCAACTTGCATTGAATGTATCATGCAGTTGATGTTTGATGGAAAACAGGACAACACAAAGAGAAGCAGAAACTCTCTCAGAAAGTGGATATGAACTGTAAAGCACGGGCACCACTCTTCTACCCTTTGGTTATGCAAACGTGCAGTTGGGAACTGTACGTAATCGGGACAAGCAATCCATAAGGCGACATATTTGTGACCTACCATCCCAAAACCAGGCAGAAGTAGGTAACATCATAACCCTAAAATAGTGGAACTTCCACTCTTTTTTTTTTTCAATGGAAGTTTTACAGCTATTACTACCCATAAGAAGCTTTCTGCAGACAGAATTTCGGATCACTTTGAAGTGTTAAAAAAAGCTGAAGGAGATGAATTGTCCAACATCACAGATACCGACTTCAGCCTGGCTTTTGGATGGTGGGTCACATTTTCTGGTAACATCTACATTGGAAGCCTTCACAGTACATCCCATTAGAAACCCAAAATATCACACTTGCTTAATTAACAATATAAATATTCACCACAAGAATGAATGAATCTGTACATTAGAAACCCAAAATATCACACTTGCTTAATTAACAATATATATATTCACCACGAGAATGAATGAATCTGTGGTTTCAGTCTAAGATTTGACAATCCCCAATGCAATATGAATGACATGTCTGAAATAACTCTTTGATTTGTACATAGAGGTGCTAGGTATACAAAACTTAAAACACTGACATTTTAGAAAAGTAGAAACTATATTTTTTTTATGCCTAAGGCATTTGGAGTAACACAACTTGCTTGTATATTGCCATGGTTACAGCAAACCCCTTGCTGCCATTATTATGATAATAATTTTAACAAGCAGAAAGTAGGGTGTGTGATTGGTTAAATCATTTCAGCCTAGTGATTGTTGTTACTTTATGGGTACCAGGGTGTGGCAGACAATTGGGTCACCAGTTATGGGACATTTTCACGTTTTTTTTCTGAGTTGTTGCATTGAGGAACATTGAAATTGAAACGGCACTCAGAGTAAAGTTACTCATGTGCCTGCGATGTTGGCAGGCCCTCACCGCACTATGTTAGGCAAATTAGGGCCCAAGTTATGAGAACATTTCTCTGTCCTCACAACGTTTTTGGTCCCAATAGAATTGGTGTGCTGGCGAGTATGTCTCCACAACTACGGAAAAGTTCAATTTGCTCGACTTCATGTTGTTTTGGCGACGTTATTTCCCAACAAGATTATATTAATATGTTTTAAGATAAGTTTTAAGACCAAAAATCATCTCCATCTGATGAGCATTCAATGTCATAATGAAAAATGAGAAGGTCAAAAGTTCAACGACCTGTAGCTTACAAACCATGTGATCCAAAATACGAATGGCAACCCTGAACTGGGAATGGCCTTATTTTGCTGTGTCAAGCAACGTAACAAGCAAAACGGTGGGAACGAGGTTAAACCCGAGCAAACTCGCGTAAGCTGATCAAATGCACCCAGAATTTGGGTTTGAGGGTTTTCTCAAATGACCAACCAATCCCAGCTGATTTCAAGAAAATCTCTGAGGATGACATCTGACAGTGTTTGATTTGACACGGAATGACCCAATCTGAAAATAGGATCATCTTCCAAAAAAAACATTGAGAACGTGTAATAAACTGTTTGTGCAGTGATAAATTTGACTTCATAAATTTTCAGTTTTGCTTCTGAAAACAAGCTGAAGACAAAGAAGACGTAAGACTTGTGATGTAAAGTTGTGTATGAAATATCGCATGTAATCTTGAAAACCAAATTGCCAGCCCTACTTGCCTTGTGGAAACTAATTGCAGACAAGAAAATAAAAAAGACTTCAAACTTTTCATGTAAAGTTGTGTGTAATATATCTCATTTAATCGTTAAACATATTTGTCAGCTGTGAGTGTGCCTTTTACATGCCTAACAACAATCTTTGGGGTTTTGGCTCTTGGCAGAATTTCCAGTGGACTTCTGAGAAAGATTTTAACATTTGAAAGGTTAATGAAATTTCTGACGCCTGTGTACATCTGCAGATTAACGATAAAACTTCAGTTTAATAGGGCTGAGTCAATTCAAATAATTCACTATTCAAATATTCGACCTTCAATTCGATCGAAATATTCGGTCGTACCGACCAGCAGATTGTTGATGAACAAACCATATACAAAATCAGTTGCAATAATGCACACAATTGTACATTATAATCACTATAATAGCTTCTCGCGTCTACGATTTAGCCACGATTTAGCAAGATCTAGTGACGAACAATACTTCTTACCCTTTGAAAATATTTTAATGAATAATTTACTTTTTGAATCATAAGATTTCTGTCTTTTTTCATTTGAATCTGCTTGAAACAAACCTCCACAGTGCAGTTTTTCACATTTAAAATGAAGAAAATTCTCCCTTTGTTTTCATGAATTTTGCAGTCGAATATCCGGATATTCGGAAAACAATATTCGAGTGTTCGATACTCGATTGAATATCCAGATATTCGGCACAGCCCTACAGTCTTATGTTATAGTTTCTTTGTACGTGCATCAGAAAGGAACACACAATTACCCTTACTACCCAAGAATTCATTATTCACAACTTGCCAGTTGTTTGTTTCCCCTTTCCCAATGCAGTCCACAACCACAAATATGCCTGGTGTTTTCCCAAAGCTTCTGAGAGAATGTCCCGGCCTGGTCTGGCGGGATTTTAACCCCTGACCACCTCCGTGCCAGTGCGAGTGTCTCACCACCAGATCACCCTGCTTGTCACGGTTCGCCTCGTCGGTTCCAATCTGATTTATTTGCTAAGTACTGCAGAGGATGCATCTAATGCAGCCTGTACTGACGGCTGCGTACAACGTCGCCCAGAGAATTCGGTTCAGTTTTGACAACTTGGTCAGGTCGGGGGTCATATAAACGAGAGAGTCTGCATTTATTGTCGTCATTTGCTGCCTTCATCTTTGGATTCGTCTTTGCCGGGGAGTGGAGGGTGCTCCAGCACATTGTCGATGATCCCAAACTCTTTGGCCTCCTCGGGGCTCATGAACCGATCTCTCTCCATCGCCGACTCTAATACGACAAGCACATAACATTTTTCTTTTACACGAAAGCCGGGCTTCAGGCAACCCAGATCTGGTACAGGAGTAGGATTGAGGATGTTCAACCCAGTTGTGGATGAAAACTAGCCCGATCACGAGCAGGTTGGAAGTGATCCCAGGATGGGACTGGCCAATGGAGCCTGAACTTGACCAAGTGATTGGGAAGCGGCCAGAGCTCAGGGAATTTTGAGTTAGCGGCACTTATACAAATTGTGGACAATGGAAATCAACAGCGACATAATTTTCACAGTCATCAAAATAGCAGACTTTTTTAGTATAAATATGAACAGCTACATACACTCTTTCTACAGCAAATGAAAAAAACGATGAAAAAAATCACATTTCGTCTGATTCTGTCCCAACTGACTTCAATTTTTACACACAGGGGTGTCACTTTCAAGTTACTTGTTACAAACTGTGTGGTTAACAAATGCAAATGGTCCTCACACCAAGTTTCATTGAACTTTAACTACATCCCCCTAGGCCCTTTTTGTTGAGGGACCCTCCTCAATCCTCCAAAATCCTCCAGTTTGGGGAGTGAAGCAATTGGATTCTCCCTCAATCCTCTGAAATCCACCAAAATTACTTGGCGTGCCTACAGCCTCAGTCCTTCAAAATCCTGTGGCAATTCCTGTCATTATGTTGAGGCAGCGCGAATAGCATTCTTGAGCAGTGCGTTTGATTCAAAAGAAATATCGGGCAGGATTTATGCATGACTAAGCAAAAACAACGCAAGGTCTAACCCACGACCTTCACCCATGGCATCCTTCGCAATAAGCCATGCACTTTTGCCATTCACCCACAATCCTCCAAACTCCTCCAAAACCACCCGAAGGATTTTGGAGGACCGAGGAGGGTTAGGGTTAACAGCGGGGTTCGAAATCGCTCAGGCAGACCCACGGGCAAAGCCCATCCCCAGGGAAATCTTACCTATCGCTTCCAGGGGCTGCTTGGTGTGTTTGACGTAAAGGTTGTTGATGTTGCCTTTGATCTTCAAGATCTCCTCCGCTTGGATCTGAATATCAGTGGCTTGGCCCTGTTGATGAGAATTTCAATGGCACCTGACCTTCACGAAACAGGTTTTTTCCACTCCTTAATCGAAACTGTCAACAGATGTCTTGAACAAGTACAAGCTTTGATTAATGATTGACGGATCTTGTGAAATTCGGCATAGCTCTGTGGCAACACAGTTCTACGCGGGGGGGGGGGGAATTCAGAATGTGAGGGTACCATTGGGACAGTTTACGCTGTGCATACATGTACGTGTATGATACACGGGAGACCGGAACAAAGCCATGCAATGAAACCTGAGCGATTCTCTTGAGACACTGTACACGGGCCAATCAGCACATCGCAGCGCACTCCTTCGTAGAATTGGTGAGTGGAATTTCGACATCATCAATAAATCCACTCAGAACAGTTCAGAGTGATAATCAGTGCTGTGTGATATAACGTTTTCCATTACCGTATCAATGAACCAAAGCCCTGATCTTAAGAATTGCACTTTCACTGTAACCACCTGCTGTTCAACCCTACAAACTTCATTTGGGCACAAAAGCGCTTCGGGGCATATCAGACCCAGCACGAGCTGTTGTGACCTACCGCTGCTTGGCCCGACGGCTGGTGCACCATGACCCTGGAGTTGGGCAGGCTGTACCTCATCCCCGGCGTCCCCGCCGCTAGCAACAGGGACGCCATGCTGCAGGCTTGCCCCACGCACCACGTGGAGATGGGCGGTAGGACGTACTGCATGGTGTCGTAGATGCCCAAGCCCGCCGTTACTGAACCGCCTGTGGCAACACAAACAGTCAACCCGGAACAGTTCAGTCCAGAGCATCTTTCAGATTATAAATTACAGACGCTGTGAAACCCTACCAGATCACTTGCGATCCATCAGGACGCTTTGGGTAAGGGTGAGATTGGAGGAAAATTGAAAAATCCACAAAATATCACAAGAAATTTTGAGGGCCCCGCGGCAGTGTAGGGTCTACAGTGTACATTTGCGTTACCCTAAAGGCACTCCTTGACATGCCCATTTCTTGCGTTCTTTATCGGCTTTTACGTGTAAAAAGTGCAAATCGCTAAACTTTGGATATTCCGGATTTGAAAAACAAAATGGTTGAAAAATTCTCAAATCAGGAAATCCTGACAAATCTCACCCCTGTTAGGGGCATTTTACAATATTCAAGCAGGGTGAGCCCAGTCAAGATGTTATTTGACACTGAAATGATGCCCTTTGAATGTTGAACAAACCATGTGAAATTGGTTTCCTGCACACAAAGAGGACTGTGGAGGAAGATATGTTTCTAGATATGCAGCACAGGTGACTTGCATGGAGTCTCATCTAACCACCTGTCCTGAGGGCAGGGCAAAAACAAGTTTAGACAAGCAGTTTTTTGCTTGTTCAAAATTTTACAAGCCCCCAATTTTCACATAGATTTTTAACACCGGTCAACAAATCACTGCCTTGCATGCCAAACTACTGAATGGAGGAAAATATTGTCTTGAGTAGCAACCAGGGCTGACGGTTTCAAAATGTTTACTGGAGGTGGACAGACAATTTTTAACTTTGGCTAGGAAAGGGCAGACTAAATATTCTGATTGTAGATGAAACCACGACTGAAAAGTTTAAGGTTGCACTTGCAAAGCTTCCAAAGTAAAAAGTTCTTTTTCCCCCTACAATGTGATGAAGAAGACATCGTGCATGTGTGTCCATACAGTATCTCTTTCTTACGAGGAAAAGATCGTGGCCACGTTGAAAGCTTCTATCCTTCATACGTGGATTTGATAAACAAATCACAGATTATCCAAATCAATGGAAGACCAGCAACAAGCGAACAGGCAGACAGGCAGACAGACAGACAAAACAGATCACCTGGACTATTGATGTACATGTGGATGGGTTTCTTATTGCTCTCCGACTGGAGGAACAGCATCTGGGCCACCACCAGGCTGGCGATGGTGTCGTCAATCTGGAGTTGTAAGGGACAACACGAGGAACAATGACAACAGCTGAACGCTAGAGTGCGTGATCTGGAGATTCAATGGCACATTGGATGGCACATATTCCCATTACTCTAGAATCTGTGAATAACGTTACAGAGACAACTGACATATTTCTGGACTTCAGGACATTACGGTAATGCCACACATTATTTCACTTCACGTACATGTAGTATAAAGTCCCCCAGCAAGAAACAGTCACCCTTTTGCAAGCGTTTAAAAACTGTTCATTGAGGCTACGACGCACAGGATGCTCTACATTTCAGCCCGAAAACAAGATTAAGAATCCTGCAGCAAGAAAAATGTGCAAACACAGATTAATCCCAACTGAAAAACTACTTTGGCATCGAACGACCACAAGAAATGAAGGCGTTAAAGAGGTCAACATTACAATTGAACCAAACGTGGTACTTGCGTTCGATGTTCAGAACATTTCACTTACAGGGCCCATGAGGCATATGATGCGTTCTTTCAATAACCTGGAATAGATATCGTAGGCCCTCTCTCCTCGACCCTGTCATCAAGGGGTGAGAAAATTGCTAGAAATCAAATATTACACTTGTAAATGTACATAGAAAAAAAACTTCTGTATTTTGAACACTGAAGCTGAAACATTAATAGCAAATCCAAATGGTGGTATATTGGATGTTACCATGGTAACTTGTGTTACCATGGCAACAAAGATTAAAGGAATGTACCTATAGAGGGGAGGGCCATTATTTCAGAACCAAAGTGGGACATTCATAGCTGGTTGACCCTTCTTCAGTTACCAACGGTCATAAAAAGTCAAGAAATTCCATTAAATATTGTCTGTCACACACAGCCTCGTCGTCAACAGTCAGGTCATAATTCCAGTTGGTACTGTGACCAGTGGAATTCCATCAACAGAAAACAAAAGCAGGTGATTGGTAAACAAAGCTGGCTCATCAATTATTGGCAAAGCACAGCTGTATCGAGTTATAAATGAGGAGTTTATTTCTACAACGTGATCACTGCCATTTTGTACCTTTCAGAATCCAACCCTCTCTCAGTTTCCTGCGGTCAATTTCTACAGCTTTGAGACAGCTAAGCACGACTTAAATAAGTCAATATAGTGAACAAGAAGCCGAGGGACACATGGTACACTGCAAAAGCTCTTCAATGTTGCATAATTGTGGAAACATTTTGAAAATTAGCTCTTTAAATATTAACAGATGTAACCATTAACCTCTTCTTTGCTTTGGCAGAGGACTCTGGCAAGTTTAAAACAGTTGCTTGAGTGATTTGGACTGAGAAGACAACTCTACCAAGAATGGCCATTTTCCATAGAAGAATTAATTGGAAGGAAGCAAAATCCAGTTGAGTGTTCAATAAAAAAGGGTCTTCGTGAAGTTATTGGGCACATTAGGAGGCGTCTACCCCATGGGTGAGAAGTTCATCACACCGACAGAGAAGATGCTCACCTCAGAGGTATGGTCCATGTACCTCAGGAGGAAAGGTAATCCCCATACCAATAGGAGGGATTTTAATCACTTAACCCCTTCGCGACGGATGACAGTAAGAGCCGCCCTAAAAATTGAGATCCTCAGCCCGCTTTTCAGCTTTTGTTCTCGGCCCACGCTCGAGCGAACACGGTGAAAGAG